CCCAGGCGGGTCTCAAACCCTCAGGCTCAGGCAATCCACTCACCTCAGCCTCCCAAAGTGCTGGGATTACAGGCTGAGCCACTGAGCCCGGCTGGGACATTTCATATAAATAGAATTACATAATATGTAGTCTTTTATAACTAGCTTCTTTCACTTAGCTTAATATTTTCAAGTTTCATCTATGTCGTAGTATATATCAATACTTTGTTCTTGTTTTTGGGGGAATAATATTTTGTTGTATGAATGTAGAGTATTTTGTTTATTCACCAGTGGTAGAATTCACTTAGTTTAAGACTAGTCTAAAGGAAAATAATATTGGGTCAAATTATCATAAGGGTCAAGACCTTGAAAATTGAAAAGAAGGACAAAAATATTGGGATATTTTGAACAACTTTCTTTTTAGAGGTTGAGTATAGTAGTCTTAATGAGTAGAGTTTTATTTATTTTCTTTCCCATAGCTATCTCTTTTTTTTTACTTTAAAAGATTTACTGGCACATTTATTTTATACTATAGTGTAAAAGAAGCCACCACGCCCAGCGCTAATGTTTTACTTATTTATTTATTTTTGATTTGGAGTCTCACTCTGTCGCCCAGACTGGAGTGCAGTGGCCGCTCCCGGCTACCGTAGCCTCGACCTGCAGGGCCCCTGCGATCCTTCCGCCTCAGCCTTCCAAGTAGCCGGAATTACAGGCATGCGCTGCCACGCCCGGCTGATTTTTTGATTTATTGTAGAGATGAAGTCTTGCTGCCCAGGCGGGTCTCGAACCCACGGGCTCAGGCAATCCACTCACCTCAGCCTCCCAAAGGCACGAGATTACAGGCTGAGTCACCGAGCCCAGCTTCATAGCTATCTTTTAAAGAAAATGAGTAGAGTTTTAGATTCATTGTAACCATAACTTCTTACTTGTAAGTTAGTATTAATACATTTTTGATAACAGTACTACATTACTCTCACAGTATCTTTACTGATTGACTGTTTCTTTCCATGACAGGAAACTCTGAGTACATTGGAATATGCTCATAGAGCAAAGAACATTTTGAATAAACCTGAAGTTAATCAGAAACTCACCAAAAAAGCTCTTATTAAGGTAATTGTCAATTTTCATGGAGTAATATAATCTTGCTTGACAAATGTGAAAATAAGGAACTGAAACAAACATAATCGGTTAACAAGATGTGTTAAATTGCCTGTGGAAGGCTTTTTATCAAGTGATTTTAAACTAGGTTACTTATGGCTGATGCGGTGGCTCAAGCCTGTAATCCCAGCACTTTGGGAGGCTGAGGTGAGCAGGTTGCCTGAGCCCACGGTTCTAGAACAGCCTGGGCAACTTGGTGAGACCTCATCTCTACAATAAATCAAAAAATTATTTGGGCTTGGTAGTGTGCGCCTGCAGTTCTGACTACTTGGAAGGCTGAGGCGGAAGGATCACATGAGCCCAGGAGGTCGACGCTAAGGTGGCCATGAGCATGCTACTGCACTCCAGTCTGGGCGATGGAGTGAAACTCCAACTCAAAAAGTAAGTAAATAAATAAATAAAAATAAACTAGGTATTTTATATGTTAAAATGTTTTTGTTGTAATTTTATTGCATTGACTTTACCAGCTTTATCAACTAACTTGATACCCTTAGAAAAATTTGCATTTATTTACAGTTATAAAATTTATTTGCATCTTTGTAGTATAATTTACATACCATAATATCCACCTATTGTAAGCACACAATCCAATGCTTTTTAGTACATTTACAGTGTAGTACAACATCTAGCTTCAGAACATTTTTATCACAGTTCCCTTTCTCCTTTGAAATCAAGTGATCACTGATCCACTTTGTGTCTATAGTTTGACCTTCTGTGGGAATTCTATAAGTGGAATCATACAGCATTTAGTCTTTTGTATCTGGCTTCTTTTACTTGGCATAACATTTGAAGTTCCATTTATATTACCACATATATCAGTAGTTCATCTTTTTTTATGTCTGAAGAGCATTCCATTATACGGATAATACCATATGTTGTTATGCATTCACCAATGGACATTAGGATTGTTTCCAATAATGCCATTATGAACATTCCCAAGCAAGTCTTTGGGTTGATACGTTTTCATTTCTCTTGTTTAGATACTTAGGTGTTTAATATCTGGGTCACATAGTAAGTTTACGCTTAACTTTTTTATTTTTTAAACTTCTGATAGAGACAGGAGTCTTGCTTTGTTACCCAGACTGGACTCAAACTCCTGGCTTCAAGCAGTCTTCCCCACTTGGCCTCCCTAAGTACTGGGATTACAGGTGTGAGCCACCATGCCCCACTTAAGTTTATCACTGAGACACTTTTCCAAGTGTTTGTGCCACATTACATTTCCATCAGCAATGTATGAGGGTAGCAGTTTCTCCGCATCCTCTCTAACACTTGTTATGGTCTGCCTTTTTAATTTCAGCCACTGTAAGAGGTATAAAATGGTACCTCAGTGTGATTTTCATTAGTATTTCCCTAATGACTAATGATGTTGAGCATCTTTTCACATGCTTGTTATCCATCTGTATAACTTTTGGTGAACTGTCTATTCAGATACTTGGCTTAATTTTTAATTAGGTTATTTGTTTTCTTATTATTAAGTTGAAGGTGTTGTTTCTATATTCTAGATACAAGCCCTCTATGAGGTATGATTTGCAAATATTTCCTCCCAGTCTGGTTTGTCTTTCCTTCTACTTGATGGTTTTTTTTTTTTTTGAGTTGGAGTCTCACTCTGTCGCCCAGACTGCTGGGCTCCGGTGATCCTTCCGCCTCAGCCTTCCGAGTAGCCGGAATTACAGGCATGTGCTACCACTCCGGCTCATTTTTTGATTTATTGTAGAGATGAGGTCTCACTGCCCAGGCGGGTTTTGAACCCGCTGTATTTTTTTTTTTTTAAGTAAGGTTTTTTATTGAGATAATTGTAGATTCAGCCAGGCGTGGTGATTCATGCATGTAATCCCAGCACTTTGGAAGGTGGAGGTAAGAGGATTGCCTGAATCCATGAGTTGGAGACCATCCTGGGCAACTTGGCGCAACCTTGTCTCTACAATGTATCAAAAAATTAACTGGATGTGGTGGCGCACACCTGTAGTTCCAGCTCCTTGGAAGGCTGAGGCAGAAGGATGACCTGAACCCAAGAGGTCCAGGCTGTGGTAGTGGTGATCGTGCCACTGCACTCCAGCCTGGGTGACAGAATGAGACTCCAACTCAAAAAAAAAAAAGAAAAAAAGATTCATGTGCATATATAAGTAATTAAAATAAATCCTTTGGACATTTTGTCAAACTATAGTATTTCACCCCAGAGTATTGACATTAACAATCAACTGATCTTATGCTTCAGTATTTCTCGTGTGTGTGTGTGTGTGTGTGTGTGTGTGTGTGTGTGTGTGTGTATGTGTATTGTATTCTAGGCAATTTTGTCCCATGAGTATGCTCGTGAATCCCTCACAACAAACAGTCCAGATACTGAACAGTTCCATCACTACGAGGATCCCTCATGGAGTCCTTTTACATCCACCTTCTTCCTGCCCCTAATTCCCCTCCCTAACCTGGTACCCGCTGATCTGTCTTATATTTATAGAATTTTGTCATTTCAAAAATGTTATCAAATGCAATCATATAGTATATAAACTTTTGAGATTGACATTTTTTACTCAGCATAATTCTCTGGAGTTTAAATCAAGTGTGTGTTTCAATAGATTTGTCTTTTTTAGTGCTAAGTCATACTTCATTGTAAGTATATACCATTCATACTAGTTTATTAACCATCCATGCATCTATCAAATGACATATGGGCTGATTTATCTGGGATAGTTACTCTAGAGTACAATTGCTGGGTTGTATTGTAATGGGATGTTTAAGGTTTTTTGTTTATTTGTTTGTTTGAGTTGGTGTCTTACTCTGTCACCCAAACTGAAGTGCAGTGGCACGCTCACAGCCTCCGCAGCCTCTGCTGGGCTCAGGTGATCCTTTCGTCTCAGCTTTCCAAGTAACTGGAACTACAGGCATGTGCCACCATCCCTGGCTAATTTTTTGATTTTTAGAGACGAGTTCTCGCCATGTTGCTCGGGTTGGTCCTGAACCCCTGAGCTCAGGCAATTTTCTCACCTCTGTCTCCTAAATGCTGGGATTACAGATGTGAGCCACTGTACCCGGCTGTTTGTTTTTGAGTCAGAGTCTCACTCTGTCTACCGGACTGGAGTGCAGTGGCATTCTCATGGCTATCACAGCCTTGACCTTCTGGTCTCAAGTGATCCTTCAGTCTCAGCCTCCAGAATAGCTAGGACTACAGGTGCATGTCTCCATGCATAGCTGATTTTTTGGCTTTTTTGTAAATATGAGATCTTGCCACATTTCCCAGACTGTCTCAAACTCCTGGGCTCAGACAGTCTTCTCACCTCTCCCTTTTAAAGTGCTGGGATTAGAGGCAATAGCTATTGCACCTGGCCTGAATGTTTAGGGTTTTTTTTTGAGTTGGAGTCTCACTCTGTCACCCAGGCTGGAGTGCAGTGGCACACTCATGGCCACCACAGCCTCGACCTGCTTTACTCAGGCAATCCTTCCACCTCAGCCTTCCAAGTAACTGGCACTACAGGCCACCATGCCTCGCTGATTTTTTTTATTTATTGTAGAGATGAGGTCTCACCAAGTTACCAGGGCTGGTCTCAAACCCATATACTCAGGCAGTTTTCTCACCTCAGCTTCCCAAAGTGCTGGGATTATAGGCGTGAGCCACCGCACCCGGTCGTGTTTAGTTTTTTAAAGAACTGCCAAACTTTTTCAGAGTAGCTGTACCATTTTATATTCCTACTAACAACATATGAATGATACAGTTTCTCCACAATCTCACCAGAATTTGGTGTTATAATTTTTTTTTTTTTTTTTTTGAGTTGGAGTCTTACTCTGTCAACCAGACTAGAGTGCAGTGGCACGCTCCTGGCCACCTCAGCCTCAACCTGCAGGGTCCGGCAATCCTTCCGCCTCAGCCTTCCAGGTAGCTGGAATTACAGGCACGCACTACCATGTCCGGCTAATTTTTTTTTTTTATTTATTGTAGAGATGAAGTTTTGCCAAGTTGCCCAGACGAGTCTTGAACCAGCGGGTTCAGACAAGCCACTCACCTCAGCCTCCCAAAGTGTTGGGATTACAGGCTGAGCCACCAAGCCCGGCTGGTGTTGTCATTTTTAAATTTTAGCTGTTCTGATAGGTGATAGATATAGCTCATTGTGTTTTTAACTTACATTTTTCTAATGGCTAGTGGTGTTGAACATCTTTTATGTGCTTATTTGATGTTTATTTGTATGTATAATATATACATATATATTTATTTCCTCTTACAATGTATTTGTAGACATGCCTGTATTACTTTTCCTATAGAGTTTTCCTGTAGTATCTTTTGATGTGTTCATCTGTTTTTTTATTTCTGTAAATTGGTAATTGGATCTTGAGGCTTGATTAAATTCAGGTTTTCTCTTAATTGTTTTTGGCAAGACTAATTCATGAGTGGTGGTGTGTGTTCTTCCATTACGAAGCAAATCATTTCTGGTTCTTTGTCTTTTTTTAAGCAATTGATGATCATCAGTAACTTGATCAATTAGTTTTTTTAAGGTTGCAAAATGGTAATATTCAAATTCGGTTATTATTTCTTAATTGACTGCTGAGTTACAGATTGAGTATCCCTTATCCAAAATGCTTGGGACCAGTGTTATTTTACATCTCAGAATTTTTCAGTTTTTAGAATGCTTGCATATACATAATGAAATATCTTGGAGATAGGACCCAAGTATAAACACGAAATTCATTTATGTTTTGTTTTTGTTTTTGATTCAGGGTCTCAGTCATCCAGGCTGGAGTGTAGTGGCAAAATCATGGCTCACTTCAGCCTTGACCTCCTGGGCTCAGGCAATCCTTCTGCCTCAGCCTCTCAAGTAGCTGGGACTATAGACCTGCACCACCATGCCCAGCTAATTTTTTAAATTTTTTGTTTGTCTTTCTTTCTTTCTTTCTTTCTTTCTTTCTTTCTTTCTTTCTTTCTTTCTTTCTTTCTTTCTTTCTTTCTTTCTTTCTCTCTCTCTCTCTTTCTCTCTCTCTCTCTCTCTCTTTCTTTCTTTCTTTCTTTCTTTCTTTTTTTTTTTTTTTTTTTTTTTTTTTTGTCAGAGTCTTACTCTGTGAACCAGGCTGGAGTGCAGTAGCATGCTCACAGCCACTGCAGCCTCGACCTGCTGGGCTCAGGCAATCCTTTTGCCACAGCCTTCCAAGTCGCTGGAACTACAGGCATGTGTCATCACGTCCAGCTAACTCTTTGATTTATTATAGAGACGAGGTCTTGCCATGTTGCCCAGGCTGATTGCGAACCTGTGGGCTCAGGCAGTCCTCTTGCTTCTGCTTCCCTAGGTGTTAGGATTACAGGTGTGAGCCACTGCACCTGGCTGTTTTTAAATTTTTCGTACAGATGAGGTCTTGCCATGTTGCCTAGACTGGTCTCAAACTCCTATGTTTAAGCAGCTCTCCCACCTTGGCCTCCTGAAGTGTTGGGATTATAGGCATGAGCCACCATATCTAACCTCATTTATGTTTCTTATACATATAACCTGAAGGTAACTTTATGCAATATACTAAATAATTTTGTACTCGAAACAAACTTTTGATTGTGACCTCTCACATGAGGTCAGATATGGAATTTTCTACTTGTGACATTGTGTTGACACTAAAAACGTGTGGATTTTTGGAACATTTCAGATTTTTGGATTAGGGGTGCTTAATGTGTACCTTTATAAAGAAAAACTTTCATCCATCCTGGGGTATAGTTCTTATAGGAAAGGCAGGACATATGCTTGATTAATTTCCTTTATTTGCCAGTTTTGAGGATAAGACTTGGTTTTCTAGCCTTTTTTAGTGCCATTATAAGCTCATGGGGCTGGGTGTGGTGACTCACACCTGTAATCCCTTTGGGAGGTGGAGGTGGGAGGATTGCCTGAGTCTAGGGGTTCAAAACCTGCTTGGGCAATTTGGTGAGCCTTCATCTCTACAATAAATCAAAAAATTAGCTGGGTGTTGGGGGTGCACACCTGTAGTTCCAGCTACTTTGAATGCTGAGGCAGAGGGATCATCTGAGCCCAGCAGGTCAAGGCTGTGGTGACCGTGAGTGTGTCACTGCATTCCAGTCTGAGCCACAGAGTAAGACTCTGTTTCAAAGAAAAAAGAAAAAGAAACTGATGAGTTTAAAGTATTTGTCCATTGTAGTTATTATCCTCACTGGTGCTCAAACTCTCTTATCTTTATCTTTAAGTGACTTCTTGAATCCTTTCACTAGCCTGGTGAGCTTTGTGTGCTTCCTTCCTGTCTTGTTTGACAAGATGTTCTAGGTTCACCTTGACTGTTTCCTGCTCCAGTCCTAGAATCAGACACTTCTCTAAGGCATCTTTGTTTCTTTTAGTGTGAAAAGCACCAATCTGAGTACTGGAGGTTGTGTTTTTTCTGGAAGAGCCCATATATTTTTATAGTGAGTGCTTTTATTTTGTTTTGGTTTTTTTAAGTGAGATCTCATCCTGTGGCCCAGGCTGGGGTATATACAGTGGCACCATCACAGCTCACTGATGGGACTACAAGTGTGTGCTACCACACCCAGATAGTTTTTTTGATTTTTTTTTTTTTTGTAGAGATAAGGTCTTTCTATGTTGCCCAGTCTGGTTGAACTCCTGGCCTCAAGCAATCCTCCTGCCTCGACCTCCCAAAGTGCTAGAGTTATAGGTGTGAGCCACCATGCCTGGCTATAGTGAGTGATTTTAAAAGTGCTTTGACTTTATTTCTAAACAAATTAATATTGGTTTAAAAATATCATTATAACTTTGTTTCATACTTTGTTTTAACAAACATAAAAAGCCAACGTTATGTTTTATTTTTTGCATATCTTCCCCAAACTGAATGAAAAAAAGTACTAACTTGACACCTACAACATTCTTCTCATGTAGGAGTATACAGAAGAGATAGAGCGCCTGAAACGAGATCTTGCTGCAGCTCGTGAGAAAAATGGAGTGTACATTTCTGAAGAAAATTATAGGTAAGCCCTTGGCTATGGAGTTAATTTTCAGGAATAAGAATTTTCTGATAACAGGCTGTTTGAAGTAAAATTTACTTGTGTAAGTAAAATCTTTATATCTTATGCCAATAACTCTGCTTTGACATTGATATGTAATTATCAAACACTTTTTAGAAAATCTTTTATTAACTTTTGTTTTGTTTTTGAGTCGGGATCTCATTCTGTTGCCCAGCCTGGAGTGCAGTGATATGATTATTGCTCACTGCAGCCTTGACTTCTGCCTCCGCCTCTCAAGTAGCTGGGACTGCCACCATGCCTGGCTAATTATTTTTTTTTGAGTTGGAGTCTCACTGTCGCCCAGACTGGAGTGCAGTGGCCGCTCCCGGCCACCGCAGCCTCGACCTGCTGGGCTCCGGCGATCCTTCCACCTCTGCCTTCCGAGTAGCAGGAACTACAGGTGCGCGCTATCACACCCAGCTAGTTTTTTTAATTATTCTCAAGATGAGGTATCGCCAAGTTGCCCAGGCGGGTCTCGAACCCACGGACTCAGGCAATCCACTCACCTCAGCCTCCCAAAGGTGTGGAATTACAGGCTGAACCATCGAGCCCGGCTTCAGCTAATTTTTTATGTTTTTATAGAGACAAGATTTTGCTATGTTGCACATACTGGTCTTGAACTCTATATTCAAGTGATCCTCCCATCTTGGCCTCCCAGAGTGCTGGGATTACAGGAGTGAGCCATTGCACCTGTCCTGACTTTTGATATTTTAATAATTATAGATTCATATGAAGTTTCAAGAAGAGTACAAGAGAGCTTCCATATATTTTTTACCCAGTTTTTCCTAATGGTTTCTTCTTATGTAACTAGAGTATAATATCAAAGCTGGGAAATTGACATTGGTACTGTGTGTGTGTGTGTGTTTGTGTGCGCGCGGGTGTGCATTTGTGTAACTGTATGCCATTTAATCACGTGTACATTTGTCTAACCACTGCAATCAAGATACAGAACTATCCTATCATAGCAACATCTCTCTTGCTACCTCCTATAGTCACATTTACCCTTCCTTCCTTCAGTGATCCCTAATCCCTGGCAGCCACTAATCTATTCACTTTTTAAAGCCCTAGGATAGTTTGTTCAAAGGAAAGCTTCTGCTGAAGTCCATTATATAAAATCAACAGCAGGGACAATAGAGAAAACGAGGGAAGAAGGAAAGTAGGGGGCTAAGGACTATAACTAGATAATCCCCTTCTGAGCACGCTGGTTCGAGACCACTCTGGGCAACTTGGCGAGACCTTGTCTCTACAAGAAGTCAGAGCTTAGCCAGGCGTGGTGGCATGTGCCTGTGGTTCAGCTACTTGGAATACTGAGGTGGAAGGCTCACCTGAGCCCCCCAGGTTGAGGCTGCGGTAGCCGTGAGCGGGCCACTGCACTCCAGCCTGGGTGACAGTGAGACTCCAACTCAAAAAAAAGAAAAGAAAAAGAGCCGGGCGCAGTGACTTACTCCTATAATCCCAGCACTTTGGGAGGCCAAGGTGAGAGGATTGCTTGAGCCCACGGGTTCAAGACCAGCCTGGGCAACTTGGTGAGACTTCATCTCTACAATAAATCAAAAAATTAGCTGGGTGTGGTGGCATGTGTGTGTAGTTCCAGCTATTTGGAAGGCTGAGACGGAAGGATCACCTAAGCCCAGCAGGTTAGAGGCTGTGTTAGCTGTGAGTGTGCCACTGTACTCCAGTCTGGATGACAAAGTAAGACTCCAACTCAAAAAAAAAAGATAGAAAAAGAAAATTCCTAGTTGTATTTATCCTTGGAGATATTAGGTAGGGTAACTTCCATGGGTCATTTTAAAAAAATTGATTATGATGAAAGGTATTTAGAGCTAATGAGTAATAACCAGAAACATTTAAATATAATCTTTTATTGAACTTTTTTATAGATGTTATATTACATGATCTTTCTAATGGTATAGACTTTGTTTAATAAATTCACTTTTTTCCAATTGTCATAATGTGCTATATTCTGGTTCATATGCTAACTTTACAAATGCTCAAAAAAATTTTATTAACCTTTTAATACCTTTGGTAAAAATGCTCAAATTTATATTGTATTATATTGTATCACAGGTTATTATATAATTCTAGTATCCTTTCTGTGTGACTTTAGTTTTATTTGATTATTTCTTTTCCATACCCAATAGATAAAATCTTTTTTTATAAAAAATTATTTTGTAAATTTGCACTTAATTCTTGAATTTGATTTTTTCCTTTTTTTTGAATTGGAGTTATACTCTGTTGCCCAAACTGGAGTGCAGTGACATACTCATGGCCACTGCAGCCTAAATCTGCTAGGCTCAGGTGATCCTTCTGCCTCAGTCTTCTAAGTAACCACAGGGGAGTGTCACCATGCCCTCCCAATTTTTTAAATTTTATTTATTGTGGAGATGAGGTCTTGCCAAATTGCCTGGGCTGGTCTCAAAGCCCTGGACTCAGGTAATCCTCTCACTTCTACCTCCCAAAGTGTTGGAATTACAGGTGTGAGCCACCGTGCCCAACAGATATACTCTTTTATAGTAAACACTGCAGTGTTTACTATTTTTTTCAATTGCTTATTTTACTGATATCTCATTTCTACCACTTGTATATTTTTTATACTTTTATTTTTATTTGAGTTTTTGTTTTTTTGTTTTTGAGTTAGAGTCTCACTCCATCGCCCAGACTGGAGTGCAGTGGCTGCTCCCGGCCACCGCAGCCTCGATCCACTGGGCTCCGGCGATCCTTCCGCCTCAGCCTTCCAAGTAGCTGGAACTACAGGCGTGCACTACCACGCCCAGCTAATTTTTGATTTATTGTAGAGATGAGGTCTCGCCAAGTTGCCCAGGCAGGTCTCGAACCCGCGGGCTCAGGCAATCCACTCACCTCGGCCTCCCAAAGCACTGGGATTACAGGCTGAGCCACCAAGCCCAGCCGTTGATTTTTATTTGATAAGTACTTTTTTTTTTTTTTGAGTTGGAGTCTCGCTCTGTCGCCCAGACTGGAGTGCAGTGACTGCTCCCGGCCACCGCATCCTCAACCTGCTGGGCTCCAGCGATCTTTCTGCTTCAGCCTTCCAAGTAGCTGGAACTACAGGCGCGCGCTACCACGCCTGGCTAATTTTTTGGTTTATTGTAGAGATGAGGTCTCACCAAGTTGCCCAAGCAGGTCTCGAACCCGCGGACTCAGGCAATTCACTCACCTCAGCTTCCCAAGGTGCAGGATTGTAGGCTGAGCCACCAAGCCCGGCTTGATAAGTACTTTTTAATGTTTAAGTTTGAAAATTGCAGCTTGATAAGATGAGTGATTTCTGGTGTTTTACAGCCCTGTAGTGTGAATGTGTTTAACTGTAATTTATTGTATATTTTTACAAAGCTAGGAGAGAGAATTGTATTTCATTTTATTTCATTTTTTTGAATTGGAGTCTCACTCTCGTCATTCAGACTGAAGTGCAGTGGCACCCTCATAGCCACCTCAGCCTTGACCTGCTGGGGTTAGGCAATCTTCTGCCTCAGCCTTTTAGATAGCTGTAACTACAGACACACGATACCACACCTGGCTAGTTTTTGTGATTTATTGTAGAGACAAGGTCTCACCAAGTTGCCCAGGCTTGTCTTGAATCCCCAGGCTCAGGCAGTCTTCTCACCTTGGCCTCCCAAAGTGCTGGAATTACAGGCTGAGCCACCACGCCTGGCCAAGAGAATTTTAAATGTTCAGTACATAAAGAAATATTTGAGGTGATGGATATGTTAATTGCCCTGATTTGATATTCAATGACATAATAATGATACATTGTATACACATGTTGAAATATCACTCTGTATTTCCTAAAATATGTACAATTATTACATTTCCCCTAAAAATAACAGGGAAAAATATTTTAGTTTTGGCATCAGAATGCTTAGCTGCTAGAAAACCCAACTTACAAGGTCTTAAAACAGCAAGCGAGTTTACTGGCTCTAAGTATGGAAAATCCAGAGCTAGAAGGAGCTTCAAGGCTATGGGAGACTGTAATTGAAGAGTCCAGGTTGTATCTTCCCACTCCTGCCCTCCTAGGGCCGGCTTTTCACTAAGGGTGATGGCCAGCAGCATGAAACTACATGCTGTCTCATTCTTGTCCAGTGTGGTTGGGAAGCTGCTTGTCCTTTACCTAGCAAACTGGACAGGGAACACAACTTATTGGTAAGTTTAGGCCTGGGTTGTGTCCATATATGGACTAATGACTGGCAAGGGAGTTGAGCTTTACCTGATTGTCCTTAGCCAGTCAGGCTTTGTCCCTGGAGCTGGGAATCGGTCTTGTCCATATGAACAACTTGTCTGCTGCATCCCTTGTCAGGGGATGGTTATTTCCCAGAGGAAATCTGAATGCTGAAGACGAGTGCTTAATAGGTAACCAGTAAACGTCTGCTATAGATGCCTTTGTTCCTTAATTTCCTATTAGTCAAGTAGTAGACTTTGTAGACTGTCCAATTTTCTTCTGTGATCCATCTCTGATTTTTTTTTTTTTTTAAGAGACAGGGTCGTATTCTAAGTGAACTGTCACAAACAAAAAAACGGAATACTGCATGTTCTCACTCATAGCAGGTCCTATACATTCACTGGGCACCCGACAAGCACAGAGTTGGGAACAACTGACTTTGGGCACTACTAGCAGGAGGAGGGAGGGAGAGGAAGTAAAGGGCACACAACCACCCATTGGGTACTGTGTCCACTACCAGGGAGAAAGAAGGCTCACTAGAAGTCCAAACCCCACCTGCATGCGATTTGCTTATGTAGCAAATCCTTACATGTACCCTAAATCTCTAAAATAAAAATGAAAAAAATAAAGAGGGTCTTGCTCTGTCAGATAGGCTGAAATTTAGTGATGGGATTATGGCTCACTGAAACCCTGACCTGCTGGACTCAAGTGATCTTCCTGCCTCAGCCTTCCAAGTAGATGGGGCTACAGGCATGCATCACCAATGCCCAGCTAATATGTGTATGTGTGTGTATGTTTTTTGTTTTGTTTTTTTGTAGAGGCAGGGTCTTTTGATTTTTGTCCAGGCTGGTCTTGAACTCCTGGCCTAAAGCAATCCTGCTGCCTTTTCTCCCAAAGTGCTGGGATTACAGGCTTGAACCAGTATGCCCAGCTTCTTTGATATTTTGTTTTGCTTTTTAGAAACAATTTTACTGGCTTTGCAAAATACTCAAGTTCATCCACGAAGACTTAAGATGCCCTATATTTAGAACAATATGTCAGGTATGGTGGTGCCTGTAATCCCAGCATTTTTGGGAGAGTAAGACCAGAGGATCAGATGAGTTTAGGAGGTCAAGCCCAATCTGGGCAACACAGCAAGATACTTTCTCTAATTATATCTGTACACACTTTTTTCTTCTATATATATTATATAAAAGAATATGCATACATATTTTTTCTTTTTTGTGTGTGTGTGTGTGTGTGTGTGTGTGTGTGTGTGTGTATAAAGACTAACATAAAATTATGTTTCAGGTAACAGTTTACCATGACTAGAAGGTTTTTTTTTTGAGTCTAAGTTTCGCTCTATCACCCAGGCTAGAGTGCAGTGGCATACTCATAACTACTGCAGCCTTGACCTACTGGGCTCAGGTGATCCTTCTGCCTTAGCCTTCCAAGTAGCTGGAACCACAGGCATGTGCCACAACCCCCAGCTAATTTTTTTATTTATTGTAGAGACGAGGTCTCACCATGTTGCCTAGGCTGTTCTTGAACCCGTGGGCTCAAGAACAGTCCTCTTGCCTCCACCTCGCAAAGTGCTGGGATTACAGGGCTTGAGCCACCGTGTCTGACTTAGAGGAGGCTTTCTTGGTATCTTAGAAGTAAAACATAAGCTGGGCTCAGTGGCTCATGTCTGTAATCCCAGCACTTTGGGAGGTAGAGGCAAGAGGTTTGGCTGAGTCCAGGGGTTCAAGAACAGCCTGGGAACTTGGTGAGACCTCATCTCTACAATAAATCAAAAAAATTAGCTGTGCATGGTGGTACATGCCTGTGGTTCCAGCTACTTGGAAAACTGAACTTGAGCCCAGCAGGTCGAGGCTACGGTGCCCATTCGCATGCCACTGCACTCCAATCTGGGTGACATAGTAAGACTCCTACTAAAAAAAGAAGAAAAAATTAATAATGATAATAATTGCTGACAAGGCACTCAATCCTGGCTGTTATCTTTAGAAATAATATGCATTATTGACTTTTTATCTTGTTCATGGTTTCTAGCTTAAGAAGTAAATTCAGTTTTTGTTTATCAATCCATGGTTGAAAATAATGTTCTTAGATATGAGGCATATTCTGAAACAATGTTCTCTCTGAAGAGCTTCTGGAATCATTACACCATTTATAAATCAGTCAGGGATCACAAAAACTACTGGCCAACATTTTTTTTTTCTAGTTTAGTTGCATGAGGTTTATAACATCTGCTTATTAAAAACAAACAAACAAAACTGTTGTATATCAAATGATTCTTCCTCTTCATTCTAGTCAGTTTTTTGTTTGTTTGTTTTTTGAGTTGGAGTCTCACTCTGTCACCCAGGCTGGAGTGCAATGGCGTGCTCACGGCGGCCACCCTACAACCAACATTTAAAATAGAGTAATGCTTTATTTGCCCCAAGCTTAACAAAAGTTAAAAATGTATTAAAACCAGCTCATTCATACAATAACATTGTTGAATTACCCCTTGACAACTCAATATAAAAAGGGCATTTCAAGCAGGGCTCGGTGGCTCAGCCTGTAATCCTGCGCCTTTGGGAGGCTGAGGTGAGTGGATTGCCTGAGCCCGCGGGTTCGAGACCCGCCTGGGCAGCGAGACCTCATCTCTACAATAAACCAAAAAATCAACCGGGCGTGGTTGCGCACGCCTGTAATTCCGGCTACTCGGAAGGCTGAGATGGAAGAATTGCTGGAGCCCAGCAGGCGAGACTGCAGTGGCCGGGAGCGGCCACTGCACTCCAGTCTGGGCAACAGAGTGAGACTCCAACTCAAAAAAAAAAAATCTTGCTGTTAAAAAAATATTTTTATGTTATTGTTTGAGAGAAGGTCACCTGTGCTAGAATGCAGTGGCACAATCATAGCTCACTGCAACCTCGACCTCCTGGGCTCAAGCGATTCTCCCACTTCAGCCTTTTGAGTAGCTAGGACTACGAAGTGTGTGCCACGGCTCTTTTATAGATGTAATGAATGTTCCTTATCTCCAAAAAATTATTAATGTTATTAAAGTTCTTTTTCTTTGCTTTGGGATCCTTTTTTTTCCTATTATGATATCTGTTACTTGTGTTTATTTTCTTCAAATGTCTAGTGATTTTTGGCTTGCAATTAAAATAGATTAGAAACTTTGTATGTGGGTGAGGCTTGTGGATCCATGAGTTAGTTGTATTGAAAAAGTGATGATCTCAGGGTTAAGTCTGGGTGTCCTTCAAATGTTAATCTTTGTTGGATTTATTCTTTTGGACAAAACCTCAGTCTTTCCTTAGAACACTTGCCCAGTTTTCTGTTTGGAGATTGTTATGGCTGCCGATATTCTGGGGTTAGAGTGGGTACAGGAAGCTGAGTATCCTGTTGTTCATTGTGTAGAGTTATGCTTAATTACCTGTTTCTAGCTGCTAAACCTTACTTCCACCCTACATGGTCTCTAGTGAAAGTAAAGCTGGAATTTCTGCAGTTCCTGTGGACTAGTGGCTTTCAATGGGAGAGGTGGGGGTGGGGAGGGTACTAGGGGATTCAATGGAAATACTCATTAAAAATATAAATTGGTTTAAAATATAAAGGGAATGTGATTTTATATTTCCTTTAAATATATAAGGGAAACTTTTCTCTAAGGTTGCACATGTGTATCATTTAATGAAAGTTAACAAGCAGAAAATACAGAGTGCACGAAGAAATTGTACACAAATTTTAAGAATGGAAAAAGCTGTATTGAATTAGAATATTGGTTTATTTTCTAAAATTTTTAAGATTTATTATGCATTCTGTCTTCTGAATAGCACTTTGGTACACTGAATCTCACGTTCAATCATCTAAGAGTGATATCGATCTGGAACCTCAACAAGTTTCAATTCAGCAGATAAAACATGCAGAATTTATATGAGAACACTGTAGTTGTCAATTTTGAA